CCAATAACTGATTTTAAAACTGAAACCAGTTTGATAAATGTTTATTGAACATCTCTTTTGTGCCATAGACAATGGTGTATGCATTGCAGGGTTAGTTATAAAGGAAAACTAAGAACAATCTCTGGGAGAGTGAGATTGCTATCTGGTGAAAAAAAGAAATCACAGATAATCTGACTCTGAAGAGACAGAATTAGGTTTCTCTTTAGAATTGAGTAAATATTAGAACATAGGATTTTTAGTGGCAATAGAAAATACTCTCTGCCTATTTTCTGGTGCCTGAAATTCCCTTCACATGGAAACAATGTTTTTATTCTTTAAATTGCAATAATAGATTTAAAATACTTGAGAAAGATAATAGATTTATTCCTAGTAAAGTATACTCAATCAAATATAAGCTTCTAACATCAAATTTTGTTGTGATTCAAGAGAGAAGAGTAGCATCAAAAGATATAAAAAGTATTTTATTAGACTGAGAGCCTTGTTATCTTTTGTTGATAGGGAAAACTGTCTCATTCATTCCCAGCTCAAACACAGTGCCACTTCTTGTTATTGGCACTCCACATTATTGATAATGTGGACAAATATATCACCTACACTGAAAACCTGGTAAGATTTACCAGATTCTCATTTCTCTGGTTTAATTTGTTTGCAGATGGATAGTGGAGCAGGATTTTGGGTCTGGAGTAGATATTTTTCTGCCAACACAGTGCTGTTTAGCTGGTTTTAAGAACTAGAATGTCATTTACATTTGAAGTGGTCTTTAGCCCAACTGTGGATAGGTATTTCAAGTGCTGGGTTATTTGTTAAGTTCTTCCCTCTACTGGTCTTTTGGGAAATTTAGTAGAAACCCCAGCTACCATGTGAGTGAAAATCAGTGAGAAATTATGTTCTCTGCCACAAATGTATACTTTTTTGGAAATATGCTATTCATTTTTCAGGAAAACAAGATCTTCAAACCCTTTCATTATGAATGGGGTTTGGTCTCCTTTCCCTTGAATCAAATATTTTTCAGCTAAAAATGTGTTATGTGTCTTAAATTTATATTAATAAGCATTAATAAATAAGCAAATTTATTAGTAACTCTTGAGAAAGCCTACTTTATAATTTTCAGAGATAAGGACTTAGTAGCTTTGGAGTCACCTTAAATGATTAATTAGATCCATTCAGATTAGACTGTGTGCTAGTTTGGAGTCTAACTTGAATTTGTGTGTACAGTATGGAATTTGCTCAGCCTTTGAAAGTAGTTTTTGGATTGATGACACATCTGTACTTTTTTGGTCTCCTTACTTGAACCCTGTCTCTTCTCTGATAGTCAGTTATGTTGCTCCTCTATTCTTGCCTTGAAAAAGCTATCTAAAGTTGAGTTCCTCTTCAGAATTTAAGTGGAAAGTAAAAAGTACAGGTCACACACAGAATTTCATACGGGTATTCAGTGGCATATGAGCCAAGCTTGGTAGCCTTTTGGAATAAAATAGGCAACTGGAAAATCTGATTCTGAATTGAGGGCCTTGTACCTTTATGAAAATTACTTTTTAGATGGGAAATTGAGAAGTTTCTGGTCAGTATCTTTTTTGCCATTGGCCCAATTCTGTTCAGGAGTAAGGGGTTTAAATTTTTAGGCTTTTTGGTTCTCTAAGGAATGAGACTTCTGGGAATTCCCTCATGATCCAGTGGCTAGAACTTGTTTTCACTGCTGGTGCCTGGGTTCAGTCCCTGGTTGGGGAACTAAGATCCTGCATGCCATGCAGCATGGCCAAAAAAAAAAAGAGAGAGAGAGAGAGAGAGAGAGAGAGAGACTTCCTTACTGTATGAGAGTAATAACTAGGAAAAACATTATTTAGCTTGAATATGTCCCTAGTAAATATTGATACATGAAAATATTTCATATCAAACTTTCCTACAGGTGGTAACGAGGATTTGTCAAAAATCAAGGATCCAATGTTTAAGCCAAATTAATTCACCAGCCATTTACCAGATGAGTTCTGTAGCCTTGGCGCTGCTCCTTACGCTGCAGGGTTGATTATAAAGATAAGCCGTAGTCCCTGCCCTAAATAAAGAGGATGGGACAGTATTGAACAATTTGGACATACTAAATGCTTTACTTTCATTTATTTTGACACTTAATCTCGTAAATCTATTGCTAGATAGCCCTGTTTTTCTAATGAGGGAATTGCAGCTCAGAGAGGTGAAACCAGTTGGCCAGTAATTAATGGATTTGAACCCAAATGAAATGAACCCACTCTGAAATTTTACACACACTGCCCTTCTGAAAGACAGGAATAAGTATAGTCAGGCTAAATATGATGATTGCTAGATCACTGCTATAACAAAGTGTTAATAAGACAGTTCACAAAGAAGAAACATTCTATCTTTTGTGAGGGATCAGTAGAGACTTTGTGAGGGGGATTTAGTTTGACCCTGAGAAGAAAGGAGAGACTTGGAGTTAGGAATCCATTTTTATCATTAGAACACCCTTATCTGAGAGAGACCCCAAATATACATTTTGGGTTTGGGAGATTTGCCAAGCCCTGTCTTTAAGGTTTGGGTTAGAATTCTAGGGTTCCCAATTCTTTTTTTTTTTTTTTTTTTTTTTTTTTTTTTGCGTTACGCGGGCCTCTCACTGTTGTGGCCTCTCCCGTTGCGGAGCACAGGCTCCGGACGCGCAGGCTCAGCGGCCATGGCTCACGGGCCCAGCTGCTCCGCGGCATGTGGGATCTTCCTGGACCGGGGCACGAACCCACGTCCCCTGCATTGGCAGGCGGACTCTCAACCACTGCGCCACCAGGGAAGCCCCAAATTCTATTTTTAAGACCCCAGTCTTAACTATAAAGTTTGTAAAGGTGATACACGAGTGTTTGCTTCACCCTATATAGGACCACGATTTGAACTTGTTTTATTGACATCATCCCATTTTCTTCCCTCCCTACCTTTAATTATATTGTGGTGGGAATTCGAGATAGGGTGTCTTCAGGCTGATGTGGAAATAGTTCTATCCCTTCAACTTCAAGTTTGTATCAGGTGGCTGCTGCATGATTGGAAATCATTGACTTAGCTTGGAGACTCCAGACTTTGATAAAATGCTCATTCTTTTAGACAGTGTCCTGTAGTTTGGGGAATAACTCCTAAAAGTATAAGAGGGAAGGGAATGACTGGGCATGGGGAGACTTTCCAGGCTTATGAGGTGGATAGAGAAAAACATATCATTCTGTTTAAATCTTGGCTAGAGAGCCTGTTAAGTGTTTGGGGCAGGAAAAAACTAGGTTTGTGGCCTAAAATAATCATACAATAGTCCTGATAGGCTCTTTCTCTCTGCCCCATTCTCCTTGGAAGGAGGAAATTGGAGTTCATATTTATTTAAAATAGTTGCTCCTCCATCTTGAAGTGATTTTTATAAAATCTTAATTCTGAGCAGCCAGCCTCAGTAAAACAATATTGCCATCTCTTGGTTACTTGAACGCCCCCAAAATAAAGGTAAATGAAAATAAGACTAACTGCTTTTAGACCACAGTGGTCTTTCCTAAAGTTCTGTAACCATTTTTCCTAAAGGAATGGAGATGGTTCCAGTTATCTAGAAGGGATTATTACTGTGTCAGTCTGTGTGTATGTACACATACATGTTTTGTATAGGTGCTTCCCTTCTCCCCAGCCCTTTTAGAGTTGATGGCTTTATCCCTGATTGTTCAGTATAATAGTTTGCACATTCACTAAGAGAGCTTGTGTAGTAATGCTTCCTTTATTTTTTTTTTTCTCTTCCATTCTTGTTTTATTTTTTACTTTTTTTTTCTTTGTGATGTGACATTTTCAGCTGATGTATTGAAAGCAAATCCTTCTAATTTGGGAGCCCAGATCACAAGAGTGAGTTTTTCTACTAGTGTCTTTAGCTGTGTATCTTTTTGTGTGTGTGTCTTTCTACCCTTTTCCCCTCCCAATTCAAAAAGATTCAAAACACATTTCATAAATATTAGATAAGAAAATTCCTCTGTCTGTTGCACATCATGCCTTTCAAACAAAGCAATGTCCACTTTATGTTGGGTCAGATTCCTTTTCCCAATGCTATTGTAAAAGCATAGGTTAATATATGTGTTTTGGTTTGTTTGCTTTTATATTATTTAGTATGTTGAAAATAATTTTAGTTATGTCTTCATTGCAGATAGATATGTCTGGAGTCTGTCATCAGTGTGTCATAACGTTGTTGGTTTGGTTTTGTTTTAAGGAAAATTATATATAGTAGCTTCTGAGAATAAAAGACCCATTCTTTTATCAGGATTTTAAGTAATACTTAGACTTGTCTCTACTCTCCCATCTCATTCCCTGGATGTTCCTCTCAGGGCCATGAAGGAATGAAAAGCCACACATATTACTCTCTAATTTCAGCAGACTGACCAGATGAAAGTGGTCAGACTGGTGAGCTCTGAACATGCAAGCATTGGAAGATGGTTTGTTTGATTAGTTAGCAAGAAAACGGTTCATGATGAAAAAATAACACCTTTTTATGGTGAAATAAAAGTATGCTTTCTATTAGTCTGAATGATTCAGATAACCTCCCCATGTAAGCTGTACATTGCTTTTTAAGATCTTACACCTGGGTAATTTTCTATACTAGCTTAACCCCTTTCTGTTCCCTTTGACTTGTGTTATTACAATTTAACTCATGTTCTATTTGTCTAGTTTTGCATCCTGGAAGAGCAGGTGATTAAATAGTCCCTTTTCTTTTCTCCTAGTGTTCTTTTCTCCTAATGTTGCTCGTTGCTTCTGAAATTATTTAATTTTACCCAATAAAGCAAATGGTATGCTGTCCTAATTATGAATGCAGATACTCCAAGTGCTTTACCCAAAGTAATCAGCCATTGTGTTTTCAATGACCATAAGAGAGTATAACAATGTATTCTACACTAGCGCTATAACCATTGATTATGGGTAAATATTCTGAAAGCCTTGCTTTCAGGATCCCCAAGTTATTCTAAATCACCCACTCCCTGTTCCTTTCTTTTGTTACCCAGAGATTGAAAGATCTCAAGCAGAGAGAGTTTGCTCGAAATGTCTCTTCAAGATCCCGCAAAGATGAGAAGAAGCAGGAGAAAGCCCTGCGGCGGCTCCACGAGTTGGCAGAGCAAAGAAAACAAGCTGAATGGTGAGGACATTTTCTCTCTGAGGATTCTACAAATAATTATAACCCTTAAGATTTAAGAATTATAATCCTTTTTTTAAAAATTGAGGTATAATTGACATATAATCCTTCAGTTTTTAATAGATCCTTCTTTCAAACTAAAAGCATATCTATACTTGGAGTATAACATATTAAGAATATGCACTCCTGAGACCGTATCCTATGATCTTTGTGACCTTAGTTATCCAAGCTCTTTGCCTCAGTTTCCTTATCTGTAAGATGAAATGATAACAATTCATTTCTTATAGTTGTTGTGAGAAGTCATTAAGTTGTTATATCAAAGTGCTTATAAAAGAGTTCCTAGCACATAGAAGATGCTCAGTAAATCATGCAACAATTATTATTCCCATTCTCCAACTTTTTTTTTCTTTTTCTTTTTTTTTGACTGCCCTGCACGGCTTGTGGGATGTCAGTTCCCTGACCAGGGATTGAACCCTGGGCCGTGGCAGTGAAAGCGCCAAATCTTAACCACTAGACCAGGGAATTCCCCTCCAGTATTATTCTTATGTAGAAAAGCATATACATCACAGTATTCTACTGGGGCACAGATTCAAGTGTTGTAACTGCCTTTTAAGTACTATAGAGTAGAGTTAGTACTAAACATTAAAACCTAGGAAATTCTATCCATTTATTTCTCTGCAGATTCCTGCCTTCTTGAGTGTTGTTTTTAATGTTCCTTCATGGTTCTTGATGATAAATTTGGGGCTGGTGTTTAGCCTTAGGTGGAATTTATCCCACCTAGGGCTGAATTTCCAAGCGACTAGACTTTGGGGACCCAGTCTTTGAGCATCTGAGAATTCATGAGGTATGTGCCTCAATCCGAAGGACTTACGTCCCTATGTTTGTTTTTAATGGCTGGCCAGTAACAAAGGAGGAACTGGTTACAGTGGAAGGAGAAACTGTGATTGTGGCTTTTAAAACTTTACAGCCAAGTTGGGGCCAGAGTTTCCAAGATCATAGACTTTCTGGATTTTTGTCTCTGGATCCTTTTACTTATTTACTTCTCTTTTGTTTTGGAGGAAGGAAGAAGGGAAAGAACACATATAGTGTAAGTTTTAAAACAGAATTAACCCATGAGCTCTAATGTTGAGTTAAAATGCCTATTAAACTGGTTCTGATTCCTTCTTTGGCAGCTCTTTATGTAATAAACACATTCCTCTTGGACTTGTAGCAAGGGTACCTCCTTAAAAATATATATACTACCTCGGACTTCCCTGGTGGCACAGTGGTTAAGAATCCACCTGCCAATGCAGGGGACGCGGGTTCGAGCCCTGGTGCAGGAAGATCCCACATGCCGAGGAGCAACTAAGCCCGTGGGATAGGTTTTGTGACGCAGTGAGAGTATCTCTTGCTACCCAAATCTTGTGGGTTCCATCCTGCAATAACAAGAGTTCAGATAGCAAAGGGGATACCATATTATCCAAATATATTTGGTCCCTGAGTTTAGGGCAGCTAGTAGCTAGGGTTTAGATTAAAAAGACTTCATCCAAATAATTCTCTTCAGTTCTTGAGTTTGGCATGAGAGATACCTGTATAATCCACACACTGTAAAAATTTCAGATGTGACAGGAGTTTAAAACACTGGCTTTCAGGTTCCTTGGTGCTCCTGTTTTCAAAGCTGAGAAGGTCCTTGGTAGAATTATGATCATTGTATGGAATGCCCAGAAAGTATCACAAAACCAAAGCTAATGCTTGGGTATGGTGCCAGGAGATAGGCACAGGCTCTTAGTTTCTATAACAGACATACTAACCTAACCACAAACCATCATAGTGTAGCACAGTGGAGGTTTCCGACTGTGTTCAACTCAGGGAATAGGCACGTTTTTTTGTTGTTGTTGTTGTTTGTTTGTTTGTTTGCGGTACGCGGGCCTCTCACTGTTGTGGCCTCTCCTGTTGCGGAGCACAGGCTCCGGACGCACAGGCTCAGCGGCCATGGCTCACGGGCCTAGCTGCTCCACGGCATGTGGGATCTTCCCAGACCGGGGCACGAACCCATGTCCCCTGCATCAGCAGGCAGACTCTCAACCACTGCGCCACCAGGGAAGCCCTAGGCACGTTTTTAAAAACTGAAATATGAAAGCACAGAAGAAATTGAGGGTTTTTTTGTTTTGTTTTGTTTTTTAGCTGTATGAAATACAGTTGATCCTTGAACAACGTGGAGTTTAGGGGTGCCAGTGACCCTCCAGCCCCCACAAACACTCACACATCCACACAAAGATCTGTGTATAACTTTGTAGTCAGCCCTCCGTATTTCCACATCCACAGATTCAACCAGCCGCAGATTGTGTGATATGTATTGAAAAAAAAATCTGTGCGTAAGTGGGCCCTCACAGTTCAAACCTGTATTCAAGGGTGAACTGTGCAACCTTTGTGAGTAGATGTTCAGCCATATGTTTGATAGTAGGATGATAAAATAAGAATTGAGAGTGGATACAGGACAGGTGGGCTGTACCAGAAGGTAATGATAGTGTATTCGAATTGAGAGGTAAACCTCAGTTTTTGTATTTTAGACAGCTAAGGAAGAAACAGCAGTAACTGGCTATCCTTGCGAATGTAGCTTGGTAGATTAATAGTGTGAGACTTTGCCTAACCTCACTGAGGAAGTTCCTTTTGTTAGCACAGGGCTGGGGAATGACCACCACTCAGTGTCTTAAGATCTGCCTGTGATGAATGGTCAAGCATAAGGGATTAGTATCATATGAGAAGTATGAGGGACTTCCCTGGTGGTCCAGTGGTTAAGATTCCATGCTTCCTCTGCAGGGGGTGTGGATTTGATCCCTGGTCAGGGAACTAAGATCCTATATGCTGCGTCGGGAGGCCAAAAATAAAAAAAGAAGTATGAAATGTTCCCTAAACCTGTTTTTTTTTGTTTTTCGTTTTTCTAAACCATTGTGTAGTGCACCTGGAAGTGGTCCCATGTTCAGACCAACCACAGTGGCTGTAGATGAAGAAGGTGGAGATGATGATAAAGAAGAATCAGCGACAAACAGTGGCACAAGTGCCACTGCCACTTGTGGCCTGGGATCTGAATTCTCCACAGATAAAGGAGGCCCTTTCACTGCAGTACAAATCACTAATACCACTGGACTGGCACAGTCTCCTGGGCTAGCCTCTCAAGGCGTCAGCTTTGGCATTAAGAATAATCTGGGGACCCCACTGCAAAAACTGGGAGTGTCATTTTCCTTTGCCAAGAAGGCTCCTGTCAAACTCGAATCAATAGCATCAGTTTTCAAGGACCATGCAGAGGAAGGGACCTCTGAAGATGGAACAAAAGCTGATGAGAAGAGTACAGACCAAGGACTGCAGAAGGTGGGAGACTCCGATGGTAGCAGTAATCTCGATGGTAAAAAAGAGGATGAAGACCCTCAGGACGGAGGGTCCCTTGCCTCAACATTATCTAAGTTAAAAAGAATGAAGCGAGAAGAAGGAGCTGGGGCTACAGAGCCAGAGTATTACCACTACATTCCCCCAGCACACTGCAAAGTAAAACCTAATTTTCCTTTCCTACTCTTTATGAGAGCCAGTGAACAAATGGAAGGTGATAATAGTACACACCCAAAGAATGCCCTAGACAGCAAAAAAAGTAGTTCTCCCAAGCCTAAAGGCTGTATCAAGGTGGCAGCAAGCCAAGCAGCAGAAAAGACAGTTGGTGAAGTCTCTGAACAGCAGATGGAAACCACTGTGGCTGAGCCCTCAGAGCCTGAAAGCAAAGCTGAGACAAAGAAGGCCTCAGGAGGGGATGTAAGTGAGCATAGTTTAGAGAGTCAGAGTCAGAAGGATTCAGAGATCCAAATGTGTGAGTCTAGTCCTCCTAAAGAAATCTCTCAGGCCACTCCAGCAGGGAAAGAAAGCCAAGAGGGACCCAGACATCCTACTGGTCCCTTCTTTCCAGTTTTAAGCAAAGATGAAAGCACTGCCCTCCAGTGGCCATCAGAACTATTAATTTTCACGAAGGCAGAACCCTCCATTTCTTACAGTTGTAATCCTTTGTACTTTGACTTCAAGCTTTCAAGGAACAAAGATGCCAGAGCTAAAGGGACAGAAAAACCAAAGGATATAGGAGGCTCCTCAAAGGACCATCTCCAAAGCCTTGATCCTAGTGAGCCAAATAAAAGCAAAGAGGAGGGAGAGAATGTAGAACATTCTTCAGGAGGCAGAATAGACGCACCTGCTTCAGGGTCTGCCTGTAGTGGCCTGAATAAGCAGGAGCCTGGGGGTAGCCATGGGTCAGAGACAGAAGACACAGGGAGAAGCCTTCCTAGCAAGAAAGAACGATCTGGGAAGTCCCACCGACACAAAAAGAAGAAGAAACACAAAAAATCCAGCAAACACAAACGGAAACACAAGCCTGACCCAGAAGAGAAAAGCTCTAAGGCAGAGTCTGGGGAGAAGTCTAAGAAGCGCAAGAAGCGAAAACGAAAGAAGAATAAGTCATCAGCCCCAGCAGATTCTGAACGGGGGCCCAAACCAGAACCGCCTGGTAGTGGTAGCCCTGCACCACCAAGAAGACGGCGGCGAGCCCAAGATGATTCCCAGCGGAGATCCATTCCAGCTGAAGAAGGGAGCAGTGGCAAGAAGGATGAAGGTGGAGGTGGTGGCAGCTCCCAAGATCATGGTGGGAGGAAACACAAAGGTGAACCTCCAACTTCATCCTGCCAGCAAAGAGCTAGCAGCAAACGGAGCAGCCGATCTAGCCATCGAAGTCGACCCAGTAGTGGAGATGAGGATAGTGATGATGCTTCATCACGCCGGCTGCACCAGAAGTCTCCATCCCAGTACAGTGAGGAGGAGGAGGAGGAAGAGGAGGAAGAAGAGTCGGGCAGTGAGCAGTCCCGTAGCCGCTCACGGTCTGGCCGGCACCATTCCTCTCGCCGTTCCTCCCGGCGTTCTTACTCAAGTAGCTCAGATGCTTCTTCAGACCAGAGCTGCTATAGTAGACAACACAGTTACTCTGATGACAGCTATAGTGATTATAGTGACCGATCACGAAGGCACTCCAAGCGCTCCCACGACTCTGATGACTCAGACTATACCAGTTCCAAGCACCGGTCCAAGCGGCACAAATATTCATCTTCTGATGACGACTATAGCCTCAGTTGCAGCCAGTCCCGAAGCCGATCTCGGAGTCATACTAGGGAGCGCTCAAGATCCCGGGGCCGCAGCCGCAGCAGCAGTTGTAGTCGCAGCCGGAGCAAACGGAGAAGCCGCAGCACCACAGCCCACAGCTGGCAGCGGAGTCGGAGCTATAGCCGGGACCGCAGCTGCAGCACCCGGAGCCCTTCGCAGAGATCAGGCTCCAGGAAGGGATCGTGGGGTCACGAGAGCCCTGAGGAGAGGCGTTCTGGTCGTCGAGACTTCATTCGCTCTAAAATCTACCGCTCCCAGTCTCCCCACTATTTCCGATCAGGCCGGGCAGAAGGTTCCGGGGAGAAGAAGAAAGAAGATGGCAGAGGAGATGATGGTAAAGGGATAGGCCCACCCTCCCAGAACAGCCACACTGGCCCAGGAGGAGGGCCAGAAGGTGACGGCAGCCCTGAAGACAAGAACTCTGTCACTGCCAAACTGCTACTGGAGAAGATCCAGTCAAGGAAAGTGGAGAGGAAACCCAGTGTGAGTGAGGAGGTGCTGGCCACCCCTGCTAAAGCCGGGCTCAAGCTCAAGGACCCTCCACAAGGTTATTTTGGGCCCAAGCTCCCCCCTTCTCTTGGCAATAAGCCTGTCCTTCCACTGATAGGGAAGCTCCCAGCTACCCGAAAGCCCAACACCAAGAAATGTGAAGAGTCTGGCTTAGAAAGGGGGGAAGAGCAAGAGCAGTCAGAGACAGAAGAAGGGCCTCCAGGGAATCGTGATGCCCCATTTGGACATCAGTTCTCCTCAGAGGAAACAGCTGGCCCCTTATCAGACCCACCCCCAGAAGAGCCAAAGTCTGAAGAAGTTACTGCTGATCACCCTGTGGCTCCGTTAGGCACCCCAGTGCACTCTGACTGCTATCCTGGTGACCCATCCATCTCCCATAACTACCTCCCTGACCCCAGTGATGGGGACACCCTCGAGTCCCTGGATAGTGGCAGTCAACCAGGCCCTGTGGAATCCAGCTTGCTGCCTATAGCGTCAGACCTTGAGCACTTCCCCAGTTATGCACCTCCCAGTGGGGAGCCTAGTATTGAGTCAGCTGATGGGGTTGAGGATGCTTCCCTAGCCCCACTGGAAAGCCAGCCCATCACCTTCACTCCCGAGGAGATGGAGAAGTACAGCAAGCTCCAGCAGGCCGCACAGCAACACATCCAGCAGCAGCTTCTGGCCAAGCAAGTAAAGGCCTTTCCCGCCTCGGCTGCCCTGGCCCCAGCCACTCCAGCCTTGCAGCCCATCCACATTCAGCAGCCGGCCACAGCCTCTGCCACCTCCATCACAACTGTTCAGCATGCCATCCTGCAACATCATGCCGCAGCAGCTGCTGCTGCCATTGGCATTCACCCCCACCCTCATCCCCAGCCACTTGCCCAAGTACATCATATTCCCCAGCCCCACCTGACCCCCATTTCCTTGTCCCACCTCACTCACTCAATCATCCCTGGCCATCCTGCCACCTTTCTAGCTAGCCATCCCATCCATATCATTCCCGCTTCAGCCATCCATCCTGGGCCCTTTACCTTCCACCCTGTTCCACATGCTGCCCTCTACCCTACCCTGCTTGCCCCCCGGCCTGCTGCGGCAGCTGCCACTGCCCTCCACCTTCACCCACTACTTCACCCCATCTTCTCAGGTCAGGACCTGCAGCACCCCCCCAGCCATGGAACATGAGTTGGGGGATAGGAGCCCAGGTAGGGCCAGGGAAGGTGACCCATAAATCTTCCCTTGGGGTGTTGAGCCATTAATACCAGCAAGTAGAAGCTGGAATGGGCAGTGTCTGACAGCCAAAGAGTTGAGTTTTGGCTTGCAGGGGTGGTTTTAGATTTGAGGTTTGCTTTGGGTTTACTATCAGGGATTTTTTTCCCTTTTCCCCTTTCTGTTTGTCCCTCCCTCTCCTGTGTTTCTAAGCTTGGGAACACCAGTAAGTGCTACCCACCCCTCTTTGGCAACATCTCCAAACTGCTGAGTTTAGATACTCCCCTCCTCTCTCTACTTTCTATCCTCTGCACTTGTCTATAAATTTTAAAACATTTTCCTCCTCTCTGGCTGGCGGGTTTTCCATCTGTCCTGCCTTATCAGTGTCTTTGACCTTGGTGACCTTACTTATCCCGGGTGAAGTGGAAAGGGAGTCTGACCTGGAACCAGGTGCCACTCAGGCTGTCATTCGATCCACTTCCCACACAAACAGCCACACATTTGGCACTGTTGTCCTCGTGTCCCTCATCCCAGAAGAGACATCTGCATATCCCAGAAAAGAAGATCCTATCGTGAATAGAAGCTATGCGGAACATAGAGTCACCCATGTGCTTCCCCAGAGAGGAGCTCATGTGTCTGAAGGGTGTATTTTCTTCTGTCATGTTGATGTTTCCTCCTTAATTTATAGGATTTTTTAATGTAAAAAATTGCACTGAACTCTATAAACGTAAATGCTGCTTTTTGTAGCTCATATAAAAAAGGTTCCATATTTGTAGTATACTGCAATAATATTTTTTACATCCAGCTCTTTAAGTGATCCTTGTTCTGGTGGCTTTGTGTAAATATGTTTGCCCTAGTCGAATTAAGAAACTTTAAAGGTTATAAAATGAAAGCAAAAAAATAAAGTATTTGTTTTCTGCTAGATGCAAAAATGACTAAGCATGTATATTTTATTAAGCTCATGTATTTTTTGAAGTTATGAACTATAAAAATGTTAAAACAGAAAAAGGAACATTGTTTAACATTCTTTGCAGAGACAAAATTTGCAGTAAGTGGTGCCCCCAGCACTAGAATTTTTGAACTAATGGGCAGCAGTCAGCTGGGGTTGCCAGAGGGATACTCAGTTACGACAGAGTCTCCCTCACGTGCTTTGCTGTTTTATACAGAGAAACAGGTGCACCCCACAGAGGAGGAGAGATAGATTCAAGAGCTTTATTCTCTGGAAGCAGTGAGATTCAGTATGATTGTCCTGGGGGATTCCTGGGTTTCAGGGGTGCCTGTCCCAGGCAGTCCATTTGCCTTCCTAGTACTTAGCCCCCTCTGACAAAATTTTTTAATGTGCCTTTTGGGTTGGCTAGAAACTGAAGTAGAAGTAGACTGGAGGATGATAGAGTTGGGACAGTTTTTCCTCCACTTACTGGGAGGTGAGCACATTTATAGATTCTGCAGATTGTTTTGCTTCGTAGTTTCCATGCCTTCTACCCAGCTTAGTTTAAGCAGTAAAGATACCTTTTTTCTTTTCTCCCATGACACTCACCAGGGGAAGTACCACCTCAATTCCTCTTCCTCCTCTTCTTGCGTTTCACCCGGCTCTCAGACCTAGTGAATACACTGACCCAAAGGTGTTTATATTGTAGGTCTCATCTTCTTCGGTGTAGTTAGTACTTCCCTGTTTGGCATATCCCTACCTATTCCTGTGGCTAGAATTGGTTGGGTGGTCACCTGACAGGAAAAACAAGCCCTTCTTACGTGGGCCAGGGCTCTGTTCTGCCTTTCTTCTTCAGTTTCCAAAAGAGAAAGGCTTTGAGTTAATGACCAGCAAGTGCTGGGCAAACAAGACTCTTGACTGAGCCTTCTGCCTGTTTAGTGCTCCTCATCTGATTCAGAAGCATCGCTTTTTTGATAACTAGCACTGGAAAAATGAAATCATCTGTTTGAAGGGACTCATTTTTCTTTGCTTTCAGCCCATGTAAATATTTAAATAATACAGTATTAACATTTTTGTGCTGCTTCCCATTAGCTTGTAGATTGAGCCATACTCTGGCTGCCTCTCTGCCTTCCTGGAGGCAGTTTCCTTTAATTTCAAGAATAGTGATTTTAAAACTAAAAAGAAAAAAAAAAGAAAAGGAACGTATCCTTACAAGCATAACAGATTGTATTTAACTTTATCACATATGCTAGAGATATATATGCTGTAAAATTAGGGAAAGGAACTTTCTAATAAACCAATGATTTGTGGAAACTTAGAGTCTGTCGTGATTGTTGCCCCATCCACTCAAGTGGGGAAGGGATGGAGGGAGTTATGGTTTACAAATAACATCTTGTTTGAAGTGATCATAGATTCTTAAGATGTTTAGACTGTGCTTCTCAAAGCTCAGCCTGCCCAGGTAGAGGGGAAAGCTTATGCTGTGGGAGGAAGTAAGGGTTAAGTTTCTCTCAGTCTTATGGAGGTGTCTTGGAATATGCACCTCCTTTCCACCCTTCCCCAGATTCTTTTTTTTTTTTTTCCCTTGCTGAGCTGCATGCAGAGTCTTAGTTCCCGGACCAGGGATTGAACCCGTGCCCCCTGCAGTGGAAGCGAGGAGTCATAACCACTGGACCACCAGGGAAGTCCCCCAGATTTCTATTTCTATCCTTTTGCTCATTTTAGATGTACAATCTGTGTGTAGTAGAATGTATGGCAAATAGGTGCTCACTAAATGTGTTTGGAATTTCTAGCTTTGATTTTGGGGATTTTGGATGGACTTCAGGGCAATGAGATGAGTCACCTGCCTGGCCTTTGCCCTCCAGATGGAGTTTTGTATACCAGAACCAGTCCTGAATTATTCTCCTCAACCCTTTAATACCACTACAGTGCTTGAGAGCTACCTGGTAAAAGGAAGTATGTCCTAATTGTTACTGAGCAGATAAAAGCCTCTGCAGATAAAAGCCTCTGTCTACTCTTCTGTATGGAAAAGTCTCAAAAGGCAGGGAAAGTTCAGCATTAAAAGCTATCCATAGATCTGGAGTGATAAATTAGTTTCCTCTATTCCTCAACCTTTCAGGAAGGAACAGTACATGGTCTATTTCTTTCCTACTCTCATACAGCTGTGTTCTCCCCTTGACAAAAGAGTAGCTATTCAACTTGAACCTTGGGTTGGATGCTCAGATCTATTTCTCTAAAATAGAAAAATCCCTGCCCTAAAAAGATGAAAATGAAAAGTGGGAATTCCCGGGAGGTCCAGTGTTTAGGACTCGGCGCTTTCACTGTGGTGGCTCAGGTTCAGTCCCTGGTCAGGGAACTAAAATCCCGCAAGACACGTGGCACGGCCAAAATAAAATGAAAAGTGATTTTCTGAGCAGGCAAGGTGTCAGCGAAAGATGCAGACACATGTGGAGAGTATGCTGTGTGAAGGTATGTGCAGCTGCCTGATTCCAGTAGGGGTTCTATCTGCCTCAGCTGCCTGGGCTTGCAACATGGAAGTACTCCCTCTTCAACACCCTCAGTGACTAATTCAGGCCTTGTGAACCCTTTCCATTCTTGTTTGCCAGGGATACCTTCACCTCCCCCTTATCTCGTGTCTGAATTATTGCAGCATTTTCCTGGCTGGCCTCCCTGACTCTAGGATCTAAGTCCCTGTCCCATGTAAGCTTACTGGCTTTTCAGAATCAGAGTGAAGTTCATTTTGTACTCATTGCTTCCCAGTAAAATTGTAAGCTCTGAGAGGGAGGGACTGATTCTTACACTTCCTTTTTTCTCTTAATCCCTTAGAGTGTTTTATATAGAGTTGAACACATAGTAAACATTTTGATTATGTGTTCAAGAAAGAAAAGCAAAGTAAAATACCATTAGTAACCGGATTATGCATCAGGATTTAGCAAGGAAACACCAAAGATGAAGATTTTTCTGTGTATCCTCCACACTGCCAAGCTCAGTGCCAGGCACATAGTAGAAGTTTAATAATTTTTGACTTTATGAAGCCGTAGCATTCATTGAGAAATTCTAGGACTCAAGCTGATGGAATAGGAAAGTGACAGCAATGTGTCAGCACTCCTCTGCCTACTATCAACCCAGCTCTGACCCCAAAGGAACACCCAACAAGGAATAGAATCTTTATTAAATACCAAACTCTCCCTTCCCAAATCTGATCCTACCTGTTTCCAATTTCAGTTAATGATACTACTGTCCTACCAGCCAGCCACCAAAGCTTTGAATTACTTTTGACACCTCCCTACTACACAAAGGAGAGAGCAGAGATTACACATCCAGTTACTGATGTAACCGGATGTGTTATCTCTGCTCTCTCCTTTGTTCCTGCCACCAGTACCCTGGTTCAGGCCTCATCACCTTTAACTGAGAGGATGGTAGATGCCACCCATCTGATCTTCCCACTAAATTAAGTCCTGCCTTTTCCAGTTCCTTCTAACCATAGGCAGCTAGTGTAATCCAGACTGGTGCACGATTGATCATGTATCTTATTCCCTGACTTAAAAAATCTTTATGATTCTCCATCTCCTATGTATTAAAGTTCAAATTCCTTAAGATATTCAAGGACCTCCAGTGATTAGACCCCAGCCTTCCATTCCACTCTCATGCCCCAGTCCTCCCCTTTAGACACCCTATGTTGACTACTTGCCTTTCTCTATAACTGACCTCTATGTCCTGCTGCTGCTCTCTTTGCTTATGTTATTTCCTATGTCTAAAAACCCCTTCATTCTCTTATTTCTTTATTGGCTGAGTCGGGTCTTAGTTGCGGCACCCTGGATCTTTCCTTGCGGCACTCGGGCTTCTCTCTAGCTGTGGCGTGTGGGCTCCAGAGCATGTGGACTCTAGTTGTGGCCCTCGTGGGCTCAGTAGTTGCGGCACTCGGGCTTAGTTGCCCCGCAGCATGTAGGATCTTAGTTCCCCAACCAGGGATCGAGCCAGCGTCCCCTGCATTGCAAGACGGATTCTTAACCACTGGACCACCAGGGAAGTCCCCCTCTTCATTCTCTGACAAAAGGCAATGTAGTGCAATGGTTAAGAACATGAATTCAGACACGAATGTCTTTGACTCCTAGTTTTGCCGCCCATTGGCTGTGTAAACTTGGGCTATTTACCTAAAACTCTGTGCCACAGTTTTTGCATTTATAAAATGGGCATAATAGTACTTATTTCATAGGGTTGTTATGATGGAGCAAATAAATGACTTCAGCTAGGCATCATCTCTACCTTTTTCAAGGCATCCTTTACTATCCCTCCGCTGCAGTTATATGTGTTCATATCTTAACTCCCTCTGGACTAAGTTTTTTTAAGGATCCTTGACAGTTATCTTTGTACCTCTTACCACTCAATGCCTTGAACAGAATGAGAATTTATTAAAAATGTTAGTGAAATGTGAGTTAATTTTGGGCTATACAGTATACACCAGTAATACAATACCACTCAGATGAGGACAGTAGGAGGGTGGAAGGTAAGTATATGACTGAGTTGAGTATTATGTGCCTGCCATGAGCTTGGCACTGGGAATTCAGCAGTGAAGAAGGGCCAGACTAAAGTTCAAGGAGCTTCTAACCTAGAAAGGGATAAGATTTTGTGCTGTGTGCTAAGGTGGTGAATTATGAGGGCAAGGGAGGTGCTGAAGGGATTCCAGAATGGCCCGGGTAGTTGGGCAGGGTAAGATGATGGTTAAGTTTGATCAGAAAATATAGAGCAAAAGGAAATGTGACTGTGTTCTTTACACCTAGCAGATCTCTTGAATTTCCTTCCTGACAACATGCTTTTTGGGGAAGACATGAGATGCCAATAAGACTTGGCACTCCTCCTTCTCTGAGCATCCATAGAAAATGACCTTTCTGCTCAAAATTATTTCTTTTTTTTCCACTATGTGAGCCTGTGTTTGCTTCTTCCATCCTCGGTGGCTGCTTCTATTCAGTCTGTCTGTCAGCAATGCCTACAATATGTTAGGCTCTTGGCTAGGGGCTGCAGAAAGGAACCTCACTCTCAAAGGATTCATGGACAAAATCCAGTGAACAGACCATGAATAAACGGTGTGATCGGCGCTGTGCCCATGTGTGTTAACCACAGAGTACCAGCCTGAGGAGTTGGGGGAGGCATCCCCTAGGCAATGACCCCACTAGAATCAAGTCTTAATGATTGGACAAAAGCTCTTGTCACCCAAGAAAGAGTGAGGCCTGCCTTCAATCGAACAACTGGTGCAAATCTCAGAGCTCGTGAGCCAGAACACCCTGGAATGACTCCACTTTATCCCCATCTCCTTTCCCCTTCAGCCAAGATCCATTTGCCACCCCTCCCCCAGCACTGGCTGCATTGCTGTGGCCACATTAAGACTTGGCCCCAGATGGATGATGAGTGAGGAAGCTGTTGTACCAATATGGCTGAGTGAAGCTGCCGAAGGCCCTAGAAGGAGGAAGTGGATAAGTGCCTTATCCAAAAGGATACAGCAGCCTCAGGTCTTATCGGGGGCAGGAGCTTCCTCACTCCTTCCCCCACCTCTGACCAACTCACAATGTGCCTCGGCAGTGCAGGCAGCTGTGTGGGGGGAGGAGGAACTATAGAACTGGGGGCTAGAGTGGAGGTGTACAGACCAGCTGGTTCATGATTGCACTATCCCAAGCAGGAAGCAATGGTGGCTTAGACTAGCATGGTGGTAGTGGAAATGGGGTGAAGATTCAAGACATAGTTGAAATGCAGAACCAGCAGGACTTGATGATAAAATACTCTCAAAAAACGGGAGGAGTCGACTTTCAGCCATAAGCATCCACCCCCCAGAGTGGCCTCACCCCCTTCCTGGCAATCCTAGAAACCGTATGGGTCCAGGACCTAGAGCCCTTTACTCTGTCTACTACTCAGCAAGTGGGTTTCAGTTTGATAAGAAAAGACTTCCTGTGGTGGAACTGAAAGGAAGAGGAAGGAGCTAACCCATTCCTGCCTAGGAGGTTGTGGGAGAAGGAAGATGGCCAGAGCTCTGTGTCCACTTCATGCCCTCTGGCTTCTGGAGTGGGTGCAGCTGCTCTTGGGACCCGGTGCTGCACCTCCAACCTGGGCCTTGAACCTGGACCCAGTGCGACTCACCTTCTACACAGGCCCCAATGGCAGCTACTTTGGGTTTTCATTGGAATTCTACAAGGACAGCCGTGGGAGGTGAGCCCTGGGGGACTCCCCCACCATCACTGCATCTCTGGGTCTTGAGTTCCCCATTTGTGATAGAGGTTGAGCAAAGTGATTTCTAGGATCTATTCGGGCTGAGTTCTTGTTAGGAATACTGGGGAGGGACTAGCTCAGGTGAAGGTGTCAACAAGAGGCAGCACTGGGGAGCTGGGCAGAGCAAGGACAAAGGGAAGACAAAAGTTGATGCTTTATTTTTTCCCCAAGGGTCAGTTTTATGACCCACTCCACCCTCATCCTTTTGAAATACAGAGAGGAGCACATGTCTTAAATTGACTTGCAGAACTATGAAACTGTCTATCCACCACCCCCACACCTTGCTTTTCTATTCCAACCCCCTCATCCCCATAAAAAGTATAGATATTTGAAAAGAAGCAATAGGGCATTCATGGTTGGGATGGATCAGGCTGCAAAATCAGACAGCTAAGATTAGAGTCCTGGCTCTTCCTCTTGATAGGAACTACCCTGAGCTAGTTACTTATTGAAGTGGACACTAATGTCCAGCTTCAGCGAGTGGCAATGGCAGGTGGCCTTCAAGTATCAGCCCCTTGGGAAATTTCCTCTGCTGAAGAGAGCCACCTCCCCCAAAGCTCCCCCACTTCCAAATGTGGCCTAGGAACAATGACTGATCGATGAGGGATGAGGAGTGTGGAGAGAGGGGAAAGGTTAAGGGTCCGGCTCTCTCACCTCAACTCCAGACAGTTCTGAAGGGTCCTTCTAGCTCCAGAGTTCCCAGGGCATTAGCCCATGGCTGTTATTGGGCCTGAATCTCAGCTCCGCTCCCTCCTCTGCCCACTCGTGCTTCTTTCCCCTCTTTTCCACAGATATTGGTCTCATGGGCATTACTTAAACATTCTGCAGACTAAAAAAAAAATTATAGCATTTTTTTGGAGCAATCCTTATGTATTACTTGGGTGGCACTGTGCTGAATGTTCCTCTTACGTTTATTTCATTTACTTCTGACAGCATTTATTGGTTGGTATTGTCCACCTTTTATATACGGTACAGCTGTGATTTGAACCTAGATCTACTAGAGTCCTCAGAGGTGTCAGCACCCCACCACCCACTTTAGAGGTGACCACTAGCTTAATTCTTCGCCATTAAAACTCACCCTCAGGAAGGGATCTGATTAACAGTTCAGACAGACATATTAGGGTGCATATAAACCCATGACTTTTGGCGGCAGGTGTTGGGGAATGTAGATGTGTAAAGACTTTAGGAGGTCTCTAAAGGCAAGGATATGAAACCCCTGGTGTTCAAATCGAACCAGATGGTTATAGTCTCAGCTTTACCCTTAATTCCGCGGGTTGCTGTGGGCATATGATTTCCCTCGCTGGAAGTCAGTTTCACTGACCATAAAATGAAAAGACTGGCCTCTATGGTCTGTGAGGTTTCATTGAGGAAAGATGACCCAGGGACCCCCCCTCCACACACACAAGGCACACTGCCCTCCAGGGTAGTGCTCCCAGCGCGGGCACTGGGGAATGCGGTACGCCGGAATCCGCGCAGCGCTCACCCAGCTTTTTTATGCAGCGTGTCCATCGTGGTGGGCGCCCCACGGACCCTGGGCCGCAGCCAGGAGGAGACAGGCGGCGTTTTCCTGTGCCCCTGGAAGGCCGAGGGCGACCAGTGTACCTCGCTGCCCTTCGACCTCAGTGAGTCTCGCACAAGGAGGGAAAGGGAGGGGCTACAGGGAGAGCGAACAGCTGGGCTTCAGCACCCCACCCCTTCTTGTGCCCTCCAGATGATGAGACGCGAAGCGCAGGCACCCAAACTTTCCAAACCTTCAAGGCCCGTCAAGGACTAGGGGCGTCGGTCGTTAGTTGGAGCGACATCGTTGTGGTGGGCGCTACGGGACTGGGCTCAGGGAGCAGACAGAGGGCGGGGACACGTGGAGGGGGGAACCCGAGTCCCGCCCCTTCCCCACTCTCCTGTGGCCCTGCTTCAGGCCTGCGCCCCCTGGCAGCACTGGAACGTCCTGGAAAAGGCCGAGGAGGCTGAGAAGACGCCCGTAGGTGGCTGCTTCGTGGCTCAGCTGCAGAACGGCGGCCGCGCGGAATACTCACCCTGCCGGGCCAACATCATGAGCCGGGTTTACCAGAAAAAGTACTTCAGTGAGCTCCGCCCTCCGTTTTGGCTCCGCCCACTCGCGGCGGTTTAGCCCCGCCCTTAATCTGATCCTTCCCTCCCACCAGCTCCCCCAAACCCTGCTTTCAGCCTGGCATCGCCCAGTGACCCAGCTCCTGGCTCCATCCCGCACGCCCCCGGCCCGGGAGCCGCTTCAAGGCCACGCCACCATATTACCCCGGGGCCCCGCCCCCACATGACTCCACCTCCCGGCCCCGCCCAGGCCCCAGGGCCTGCTTCTTCACAGACCCTTCCTTCTTGCCTCCTCCAGGCGCAGACAAGCGCTACTGTGAAGCGGGCTTCAGCTCCGTGGTCACTCAGGCGAGTAAGGATCATAAACGGCGTGGGGGAGGCTCCCAAACAGGAGCCCCTCTCACCTCCAGGGCTTCCTTTTCAGGCTGGGGAGCTGGTGCTTGGGGCCCCTGGCGGCTACTATTTCATAGGTACGTGCCCATCCGTACACCTCCCTCCCTTCTCTCGGCCTGGGTAGACCCCAGGCGTCTGGGGCCTCACACCAGCTGTCCCTCGCTCCCTAGGTCTCCTGGCGCGGGCTCCAATTGCCGATATCATCTCGAGTTACCGCCCGGGCACCCTCTTGTGGCACGTGCCCACCCAGCAGCTCACCTTCGACTACAGCCGCCCAGAGTACTTCGACGGCTACCGGGGTAACCCTGGCACCTCCCTTCGAGGCTTCCCAGCACTCTAAGTGTCACCGCCGGTCACGTCCTGCCCCTGTGGGAACTCCCCCTTGCCAACTCTGGCTGGCCAGCTCCAGCGCTAAGGCGTCCCCATCCTCTGCTGCCGAAGCTCCCCTTCCCCACCCTCTGCAGACCGCCCAGCTCCCATACACCCCACCTCGACCTCCCGCCCTGGATTCGCTTCACGGCCTAGGGCAGGTCTCGGTGGCCTCGATTTTCCCGTCTACACAATGCAGGATTTAGACAGTCTCCTCCCTCCCGGCCCCCTCCCTGCTTCACCCTCCCGGAAAGGCTAATTCGCGCTGTGTCTTCAGGGTACTCGGTGGCTGTAGGCGACTTCGACGGGAATCCAAACACTACAGGCAAGAAATTCACTTAGCGGCGGGGGTTGGGGAAGCCCGGAAAGGAGCACCTCCAAGACCCGCGCCGAAATCTCCCTGGGATGAGGAATGGCGGGCGGGAGACGGGTAGAGATTCCAAGGACCTCACTGGCTGGGCCCGGCTCTCCCCAGAGTTTGTCTTCGGTGCCCCTACCTGGAGCTGGACCCTGGGAGCGGTGAGTGCCCTCTGCCCACCACTCAGTGTCCCAAAGGCACTGACTTCACTCTTCAGCCTGATACCCCCAACCTAAACCTCCTGTCCTTCTGCGGCGGGGGCGACAATGACGCGCCCCTGTGCGTTGTCCGCGCAGGTGGAAATTTTGGGCTCGTACCACCAGACGCTGCACCGGCTGCACGGAGAGCAGGTGGGGGGTCGGGTCCCCTTGGGGGGTGGCCAAGGCTGGGTGATTGAGACCCTAGAATATTCCGCAGGACATGGTGGGGGCAAAGTCCAAGAGAGGGTACCGAGTCCGGGGACAGAAAGTAAGGTGCGACCGGGCTTCCTGCAGATGGCTTCGTATTTCGGGCACTCAGTGGCCGTCACTGACGTCAACAGGGACGGGTGAGAAGCTGGGCGCCCCCACCCCTACCCAGTTGGGTCCCAAATTACCAGAGGCGTTGACTGCCCTCGGTCTCCTCCTTTCCTAGCCCTCACTCCCACGTGACCACCGAGGGGAGCGGGAAGGCGAGGGTGGGCGAGATTTGGCTCTGGCCCGCAGCGTCCCCCTAGCCCCCCTCCCCACATAAACACCCGTCGGGCCTGCAGGAGGCATGACCTCTTGGTGGGCGCGCCACTGTACATGGAGAGCCGTGCTGACCGCAAGCTGGCCGAGGTGGGGCGCGTGTACTTGTTCCTGCAGACTCGAGGCCCTCACGCGCTGGGCGCCCCCAGCCTCTTGCTGACCGGCACGCAGCTCTATGGGCGATTTGGCTCAGCCATCGCGCCTCTGGGCGACCTCAACCGGGATGGCTACAACGGTAAGGGATGAGAGGAGCCCCATTTGCTACACAGGGGTTTACAGCCACAATGATCATGGATTTGACCCGAGGGCAGCAGGAGCCAGGAAGGGCTTTGAGCAGGAGAGAGTTAAAGGAGACTCATTGGGGTTTGTTTGCATTAGTCCAGGCAAAAGGTGGTGACCGACCAGATGTGGGCTTTGGCAGCGGAGTTAGAGATGAAGGTGATTTCAAGATATTTACTACTTAGATTATTAGGACTTGATGGGTGAATGGATGTGGGGCTAAGAGAGAGACAAGTTGGGTGGGTGATGGTTCTCTTCACTGCCTGGAGCTCAAGCCATGCAACAGGTCTGGGGTGAGATCAGCAATTCAGCTCTGGACTTGTTTGATTTTTTTTTTTTTTTTTTTTTTTTTTT